GTATATATATATAATATATGATATACGTATATATGATATATATATATATATATGCATATATATATATATGATATATATATATGACATATATATAATATATATATAATATATATGATATATATGTATACATATATATATATGCATATATATATATATATTCTTGATCAACTTGATGAATGGTTCGGTTTTGTGATTTCTAAAAGATGTGTCAGTTTCGATCTTCGTTTGTAGTACTGTTCGGGCTAGGAGCTGCATTGGTTTCCAGATAAGTGTCCTGTTCGGTCAAGGCTCAAAAGTCGAGTCGATGTGATTTTCACAAGAGATGAATGCGTGTAGAACGCTGCAATGCTTCAAGGCTGCGAATACTTTGGATGCAAATGAGAGGCACTTTGCCGCGGTATGGGTTGATTTTTAACTTTTGTGTTTGTGTCTCCAAAACGAATAAGTTCAGATTTGTCTGATTTCCGGGTTCCAGTGATTTTCAGGAGGGTGCTCAAGTTGAGAAAATCCATTCATGGCTTCCTGTGCGATCCTTGCAGGTTGCGCCTCCAGCAATCCAAAGCAGTGTCACAAAGCGAGGGCCTCAGAGAAAAGCCAACATCTACCCTCTGGCAATGACTAACATAGCCATTGAACATATCTCATTTAATTTTAGTTGATTTACCTATTAAAGATGGTGATTTCCATGGCTATGTTAGTTTACCAGAGGGTATCCACCGAAAAATCAACATGTCGATGTAATTTGTTGAACTGGCTTACATTGAATCAAAAGTCATAGTGGAGCACTTACGCTTCGTTGGTTGCGCAGTTTCGCCCGTGAAATGATATGGAAGAAATGGGTGGTTTCTTAAGATGCCACATTACATGGATGTACATATATATATATATAATTATATATACACATACACATATATATATATATCTCTCTCTCTTACACATACACTTTCCCTATTTTTCCTTATTGAACCACATTGAAGGCCCATTTCCATCAAGGAAACCAATTGAGGTGCACAACTGGCAGCCATGAATCCCCAGAACGAGCCTGGCAACCTGGTCCCAGTTGCGTCCAGCTTGTGTCTAGCACGTTAGTTTTTTCAGTTTGTCGACTTTTCCCTGGGTTTTTGCATTGCCTTGGGCTTAGTGTGACTTCGTATTTACCATGTTTTCATGACCACATGATGTTCAGGTTCATGATGTTTCTTGTATTGAGAATCTATGCGGAATAAGTGGGAGACAGCAAATGAAAGGAACCTGAAAGGATAATGGAACGGCGTCCCAGTGAGACTTGACACAATTCAATACAATTGGTCGACTTTAACGTTTTGGTGTATCATGAAACGTGATGAGAATTCATGAGGATTCGTGAGACTTTATGATAATTTATGTTCATGACAATTCATGAGAATCTTCAGAAGTCATGAGAATTCAAGAATACACGTGCCTTTAATATAGAAAAACATAGAATTCTAGTATTTTCTGAAATCTCATCATTCCAGAACTTCCATAGAATTCCATCAATTTCCCCATCAAATTCCATCAATTTCTTCGAAAGATGGCACAGCTAACTATCTCTGACTGTCGAGGCGGGAACTCCAGGACAAGATCAGGGAGCTCGAACAAAAGAATCAGCGCCAGCAGAGGCGCCCTGGTCACGACGGTCACGACGGTCACGACCCACCCTACCTTTCAACCGATATGATATTCCAATGTAGATCCAAGATATGCTTAATACACCTTGAATATATGCTCAATGTAATTCAGTTAATATATAATATACATATTATACACACATATATATATAACTATATCTATATATACATATATATATATATACGTACATACACACAATATATATATATATATCTAAATATGTACGTACATATATATGTATATATATATGTATATATATACACATACGTAGTTCAATATACATACAGCATTCCAATACCAATATCCAACATTCTTACAATTTCAGAAGAATTGGCATGACATTGCCCACTTGCACTGCAAGCTGAGATGGCTGAACTTGAAAAAGACGTCGTTGCATCTGTGGAGTTTGGGAGGCAAATCGAAGAGCAGAAGGTCCAAATGATGCAGATGCAAGTGCAAGCCGTGCAAGCGGCACAGGCGACTCCACGTGATTTGGTCATGCGTTCGCTTTTCAATTCAGTCATGTATGTCATGTCACATGTCATTCCAAGTTTTCTTTGGTCAGGCACAAGTGCAAGTGCAGGTGCTGGTGGGGACAGGGTAGAGGAATCAATCAACCCTGAGAGATCGATTTCCCTCTTCTTGGGGCACCCTGACCACAGCCATAGCTCTTGAGCTGTGCCCAGGATCCACGATTTCCTCCAGGCGCGCTGCAAAATTTCATCAACAGATCTGGGGAATGGTGATGGGTTGGGATATTGGATGCTTCTCCTTTGCCATTTTGGAAGGAGAACATTTACAGATCCTGGTCCCCATTGGTCCCCTGAATGTTCCCGAGGTCAGAACAGCTTTGGAGGCAGTAGGTGGCCTAGACGACCTGGACAGAAGCATCAGATGTGAGTTTTCTTTGATTAAATGGGCAGTAAATTGGCATGCATACAGGGTGTTGAAGGGGAGGACAGATGAAATAGCTGTTTGCGACTTAGAGAAGGCAGTAGACTTGTGGGAAGACCATCGATGATTCGGTATTGTAAAAGACTCTGCATCTGTGATCATTTGTGCCTTGAAAAAATGGGCTGGCTTAAAGTTTGCACTGGCCTTGGTGGCCTGAAAACGAGATCCGGTAAGGTTCCAGCTCCACTCGCCCGAATGAGACGTGGAAGGTCGCGCAGGTGCGCAGGTTTTAGGTTCGAGAAATGGTGGGTCATGGTGAGAAATGGTTGGAAAGAGGCCAACGCTGTGTTTCAATAGGGATAGCTTGGATTCATGGTCATGTTGGGGAATGACTTTCTCAAATCCGGAGCTGTAATTTGCTGCAAATCCTCTGCGGGTCAGGAACGATTTTGACAGGGTACGCGGATTTATTTTTGGGATAAGATGAAAAGTCTGAAGCTTGGGGATATTTTGGGATCATGACTGTAGTTGAGATTCAGACCCTCACCGGCTTGGGTTTTGATATGTATGATCCAAACTTTGCTCTTGACCTGCCACCTCGAGAGCAGATTCTCGCACTGGATCTTTATCAGGTCCTCCCCTTGATCTCACACACTCCCTTGATGTGCCTTGTTTCATTTGGGTTTGGGAACAAGCCCCAAAACTTAGAACATGTTCGTCCCCAAAGTTCAGACTGCCAGGAGGCTATGTCCCAGGCTTTGCAGAGCAGCCATCCAGCAAGTTGGGGCTTCAGGCTATGCCAAGGATGTCCAGCTTGTAGATTTGGGGCAGCTTGGGAGGATTTTCACAGAGATGGATTCTGGGAATCTTTTGGGACTGAATCAGCATCATGAGGTCTTCCACCAGGTGGCCGATGGCCTGCAGGTGTGATGATGGGCATGTAGGGATGGCTTGCGGATAGTGGACATATGTCAAAGGATTCTTGGTTTGGTTTTGGATGGTTCACTGATGGGAGAATGATGAGTTTCAACTTGGAATCTATATAGATAATATCTATAGATCATATCTACCTAGTGGCAACTTTAGAGGAGCTGCCTCATCAAAGTGGGACTAGGAACTGTTGGGCGAGACTATTCCGGATTCCATCCAATCTTTTGAAAAGCAAGCCAATATACTGGATTATATTGGCTATATTGGTTTATCTGAGGGTATCCCAAATTCTGTTGGTTAGTAGAATGTTTTCAATAAGTATTTGGGGGTATACTCCATTTCCATGTTCATATTGGTGCACATAAAGATTGAGTACTGAAGAAAATCTCTCTGAAGCTCCAATGGCGAAGTACAACGCGTCGTCAAAGATGTCTTTGGTACAGCGCAACGCAAGTCCTTGGTCCCCAGATATTCCACAATATGCCACGGTTAATTTAAAATTATACTCCAACCATTGGTTTATGGGAAAAATTACAGGAAACCATGGTTTTTACCATCAAAAATGGGCCTTTCCTGTAAAATTTCCCATAAACCAATCCATTGATACACATTCCCAACTGATATAGTTCCCATCATTTCCCATTTCTGTCCAATGTACACAGTCCCGTCCTCAGCAAGATGTCACCCGTCGAGGTTACATTGGCGATGGTGGCGGCTGGGTACCCGGAGGATTGCAATCCATGGGCCGAATCACTTGTTGAGTCAAGTTGAGTCATTTCCAAGAGAGGTGGCTTGGTTTGGATGGGAACGGTATGAATACTGAATATATTGTGTGTCGTAGAGTATATTATTATATATGTATATAAATGTGTATATTGTCACTTATACAGTGAATATATATATATATATATTGATATTGATATTGTATCATTGTGAATACATAAACACACACACAGATATACATGTATATATACATACATATATATATATACACATCAATTGTACTTCAGTGTGTATCTACTATTTCCATCTAATCACAACTGGTATATCTGCTATATCCAATCCCAGCCGATGCAGGAGAACCTCCGAAGAACGCCCAGCCACCAGCGGTGCCCGGGATGAATTATGACGCCGTGCCCGTGCTTTCTGAAAGAAACACACCTAACAATACTACGTATGTTATACAGTTAGACATGATTCTATGCTGTATTATATATACAATGATATACCATGATATACTATGATATACAAAGTTTTTTTTTTAGATATTTTACATGCAATATGTAGGAATGTAGGATGACGGGTACGTGACATGCATTTGGGTGTTGTCATTTCCTGGAATTTGTTGGGTCAAATGTCTACGAGCTACAGTAGTCTTTGACATTGCTCAGACCTGACAACTAGAAGGAGAGTGGTATCAGGAATTGACCATTTGACTAGCAGACCATTTGACAGATCTATATTGCAAAATACGTCAAGTGTTTGAAACAACGATCTTCTCACCGAATTGTGATAAGCCTAGCCGAGACATAGAGGTCACCCATGGAGCCAACTGCTCGAGACTCGCGCTGTAGATACCACCTGGTGATACTGAACCACCTGGTCGCTGTGTGGAGACTTGTCGATGTGGTCAGGCACCTTTTGGGTCGAGAAAACAAAGGGTGGGCAACTGGATGACGACTCGGAAAGGTTGAACTCTTGGCGATTTTTTTGGTGTTTTTTATCAATCGTTTTTAATGGTTTCAACATGTCTTCAGTTCTTCTCCTCTCTCCATGATGCACCATGGCAGGTGGTGAGCCGTGCATGGGAGGTGGAGAAGCCCTGGCTGAAAGACGAGGTTACTTGCGGCTTCACGGATGGATGTGACCTGAGCAATAGCTGCAATCAGATGGGGTGGAACGGAGACACACACATACATACACACACACATTTATATACTGTATATATATATAGATATTAATATATATATATATACATACATATGTCATGACATACCTGTTTAAATCCCGCATGATGATTGATAGTTAAGCAGGAAAGCATGGGTATATTGATATACTGGGGATACGATTATATAACTTAATATGCATGGCTAGGGTTGTTTGAACATGGGGTACCCCCATGACCAGTTGGATGATTTTCCCAGCACAGCGCCCAGGCCAGGGCTATGGCCATCATGGCTGCCATTCATCGCTTTGAAAGCCCGGCAGCCAGGGCGGTTGGCACCGCTGATGGATTTCTAGGGATTCCCGACATTTTATGAAAAGTCACAATCCTTGCCATGACACACACACCCACATATGTATATATATATAATTATTTATTTCTATATATATATAATGTGATATTGTATAGGACTTGTTCTTACTATCCATTTGTTATGCATAATAGCCATACTTCTTCTGGACCAATGCTCCGTGTGTCAACCAGATTCTGTGGCCTTGGTTGTCTACAATTTGGTGATGGAAGATCACGCAAGCATGACAAGAATGATTCTGTTGTTGTTGTTGTTGTTGTTGTGGTTGTGGTTGTGCTTGTGCTTGTGGTTGTTGTTGTTGTTGTTTTTTTTTCCCCCATGTTTTCCCATTTGACTCTGATGTAAACATCAACTACATTCAACTACTGATAGCTCAGATATGTATCCTCTCGTAAGTCACAATTTAACAATGAAACAGGGCCCATTTAACAATGATGGTCCCTTGCTGGAACGCCAAGGCCAGCCATCCGTTGAACGCCGCGGCAAAGTCTCAAAGCAGAACCGCTACGAGCCAGTCCCTTGCGGAGATGCTATTGCTGATCGGTGATTTCTATTGACCGTTTTCTATTTTTTTTTAATGATATATACTGTAAATCTAAATGTAAAACATTGTAAAACAATATAGATATAGATATAGATATAAATTTACATAGAATTATAAACGATAAATATAATTATAGAGAAATGAATAAATAAATGAGTGAACAAGTATAGAAATGAATAAATAGATAAACATGACACTGAACATAAATGAATAGATAATTGAAAAAAGTAAATAGATAAAAATAAAAGAATCGATGACTAAATAAACAAGTACAAATACGTATATATATATATATATATACATATATATACATATTCAATGTGGATTGAACCATTGAATCATCAAAGATATCAAAGCCTAAGGAAGTCTATATAGTTGGAAAACTTTTGAGTTACGATGCTTATGGTTAGCGTCACTCCATCATATCAACCACATCATCATGTCAACCACCGATAATCAAGTAGTTGGGATGTGCAACAGTTTGGAAGCGTGTGAATTGACGGGTGAAAACAGCAATGCGGCTCCGAGGGTCGAAATAGGGTCTCCGTTTCCACGCTTGCAGGTCTCTAGGAAAGTTGTCGATAAAAGTGACAGGACTGTAGCGAGAGCTCGGTTTGCACCAGAACATGTTTGAACATGTCTAAAGATGAGGTCGGCAAAATGTGCACGAGACTGTGGCCAGGGCTCGATTTCAGAACAACATCGTAAACAACTGGCATGCTCGGAGTGCCGGATTTATGGAGTCGAGTCCGCAAGTTGACGCTGCGCGAATGTTGGTCGATTTGGTTCGATGCCCCTGCTATGGCAACCGGCAGTGACTTGGCACGGCCGCTGCTCAGAGAAGTGGCTAGGGGAAGAGGTGCCTCAGCGAAGAGGTAGCTCTAGCTCAAAGAAAGTAGCTCGCTCATCCATCCATCCCTCCGTTCATTCATTCGTTCGTTCATCCGTGATACTCGTTCATTCCTAGATTCATCAAACCATTGATTCAATGATTCTTTGGTTCGCTGGCTCACCGATTCAGTACTTCACTCATTCACTGTTCATTGATTCACTGCACGATTGGTTCATCGATGTCTGAATTTATTGGTTCAGTGGTTCAATCGTTCATTGATTCAGTGATTCATCGATTTATTGATTCGTGCGCTGGTGCCTTGGTTCTATCAGTTGCATGGACTCTTTCCTGTGCTTTCACTGGAATCCCACAACACAACTTTCTGCATTTCAAAGCCTTTCCTATATGTAATTGATATAACCTGTAACCATTTCATTTTTCCGAACCTTCCCCCACGGAATGTGACGTCCTTAGCCATGTTTTTTTTTTTAATGTGGTCTGAACATATATATATATACACTATAAGAGCTGTTAACGTTTACTGTATCAACTTTCAACTTGCAAACATACTTGTGGATAAGATTGATAACTGATGATTTTGATAGACCATCATCAATGGGATACCCAAAGTATCACCAATCAGTAAATATATAATGGGATGGGATTGATGCAAATCTGAACACGTGATCGATGCAATGTCTGTGACATTCTCTTATGAGGCGGGTAAGAGTGGTTCTGCAATGCATACTTCACCACGGACGATCTCTAGTTTTGTTAAACCTTTATTGCGTTGGCCACAAAACACAATTTCCACTTCATTGCAGGTTGACCTGTGATAGTTTTCTGATGGGAGGCTGCACCTACACAACAGGCGCTGGCGGCAGAAGTCGCGAGCAGGCGGGAAATTGTCAGGGAGATATGGTTTCTTCTTGAGGTTGGCAGCAGAGATTTGCGAGCGGCGCACCTGACATACTAACAGTGACTCGCAGTGACGAACAGGTGCAGCAGGCAGTCGTTTTGACGGTCGTTTCTTGAACTTAGCAACTTGGTTTGACCTGAAATACCCATTATGTGAATTATTTTTGTCATTTCACAGAATCAGGATGTTCATTGGGAAGATACAGTGGATAGCGGATAGCAGCTAACCACTTCCAGGAACATGGAGGCATAGCAGCCAGGATGGGGTAATGTGGGTATAACAATGTCATAAACCACCCATTTTTGATGGGTTTATACCACCTATAAACATGGTGATGAATGGAGGATGGTGCAAATGGCATTGTTATACCATTTTTGATGGTTTATGGTGTATTTATACCACCTATTATTGTTTTACCCACATCAGTGGAAATCACACCATCCGACTTGACAGGGTGCCGCTCCCTGCGCATTTGCGCATGCGAGCCCCGTGATGGCCGTGACGACGGAAAAGTGACGGAGCGTTGGGCGACATCGACGAAGACTTGGCGTGCCGATAGCCACTGGTTGAGATAGCTAAGGACACCAAGGGTGAGAATATGTTCAATAGTGTTTAATAATGTGGGTATAGCAATAATAATGGTTTATATAATGGTTAATCATCCCATGACATTGGGAATAATGTGGGTATAGCAATGATAAACCATCCCCCATTCATCACCATGTTTATAGGTGGTATAAAGCATCAAAAATGGCTGGTTTATTGTTATACCCACATTATATTTGACAATATTTACTAGTTGTTATCCAAGACCCCCCTGACTCAAGTCTGAGTAGCTGATACTGTAGTTTGATGTAGCTGCCTAGGCGATCCTCTGCGGCTTCCACCGTTTTGTTGTCAAGCCAATCAATCGATCAACCACTCACCAAATCAGCATTTGTATTGTATGCAATGTATCCAATCCAATCCAATCTGGCGACGTTTACTGTAGAAAGTCACCCTTTCCAGAAGTGATGACTATGTCGGCTATGTCGGCTATGGGGATGTGTCGAGTCCTCACCCAAATCCCGCAAAGGACCAAGGGGTCATGACGGTCATCAGTTTTGAACCAGGGACCCATTGCGAAGCAGTGCAGCCATCTGTGGCTCAGTAACAATTCCAATTCGGGCCTGGCAAAGCAGCCCTGAGGCGTGAGTGGCCCTTTAGAAAGGAGGACCATTTATTATTTAGGGATATTTAGGGCAATTTTTTTAGTTTAGTTTTTTTTTTAATTCCTCTCTTTTCTCTATATATTTTCCTGCTGTTCTGCTTTTTTGCTTCTACGCTTCTTTGTTGTTTTTGCTTTTCTACTTCTCTGCCTTTCTGCTTTTCCTCTTTTTTACTTCTCTGTATTTTGTTTTTTCTGTTTTTTTTGCTTCTACGTTTTGTTTGCTTCTCCGCCTTTTTGCTTCTCTGCTTGTTTGCTTCTCTGTTTTTCTGTTTTTGTTTCTCTGTTTTTTGTTGTTTGCTTTGTATTTTTTCTGCATCTGTTGCGTTTTGTTTCTCTACTTGCTTCCTTATTGTTCTGCTTGATTGCAAGTGCAGCTACAACCACGTGAAGAGAACAGCACCAGCAGCACAAACAACAAGAGCAGTAAAAGCAAAAGGAAGAGCGGGAATGACAAAAGGAACAAAAGCAACAAAGAACAACAAGAACAGCAAGAGAAACAAGAACAACTACAATGGCAAAGTAGGAACACAAGCAAAGTCGTCTCTGTGTTCCTTGGGGGAAGGCGCTGCGCACTCCCCCCATTCCCTTCCAGCTGTTTCTATTTTGTTGTTGTGCGCTTTTGTTTTTGCACTTTTTGGTTTCTTTGCGCTGATGTAAAGACCATGATTCGATGTACATGAGCTGGTTAACAACTTAAGGTTTCACAATGCCCAATGCAAAATGGAAGGTTGAAGTTCAAAAATGCTGCACATATCATTTGCAGAATCCCGATGCTGTGTAAAATGAGAGGTTCTATCTCCACAATGAAGGTTGATGTTGCAGAATGCTGAACATAGCACAAATGCCAAGCAAACTCTGTTGTTAGTTTCTCTGCTTTTTTGGCCATGATGGTTTCATCAGTTTTGACTTCACGGCTTGGTTTGTGTTCACCCGTTTACCCCAAACAAAGACCACAACATCAGTTGTTGGTGTGTTCCTCCAGCTACACCACCAACAACCACAACAGCAACAGCAACAACAACAAGAAACCACTTTTACAACTACAACTGCAGACTGCAGCAAGACAAAGAACCCAAAATTATATAACTGACAACAACCAAAACCAAACAACTAGCAACAACTTGCAAATAGCGTGGCAAATGGAAGATTCCATGTATGCAAATATCACAACAAATCGAAGGTTCCAAATGTTGCAACTGGCAAGCAAAATGGATGGTTCCAGCTGCAAGATGCTGCAAATAGCGCGCGGAATGGTATGTAAAGTGGAACGTTCCAGCTCCCAAATGCTCCAAATAGCTTTGAAAATAGGCATGGCCAGGAATTCCCTAAACAATTTCCTAGCGTTTTAGAAATATGCCGCGGAGAGATTTGAATGGAAAGCACATTTCAGTGCCTAAACTTAAGAATATTTTTGGTATTTTTAAATGATAGACGTGTAAACATGTTTTTGCTCCACTGAACAGCCATAATATATAATCACTATATCGTATCCAAATGGATGTTCCATAGAGGTGTTGATGACTTTGCATGTTGCGGACTGCAGGCAAGATGGCAGTAGCAGCCATTGACATGTCCTTCCTGGAGGTCCTCTGAGATAGGTATTGCAGAGTGCAGGTCTTTCCTTCAGCAGGATTAGTGAATTAGTGTTCCCCCCAAATATCGTTAATTCCTTCATCCAACTAGAAACAGCGCATTTGCCACTGCATACACAAAGGTTAGAAGTTCAAAGTATCAAGAAAGAAACCGCTTTCAGATAAATATCATGCTCATACTTATATCATATTTGAACATTTTACAATATCTTCGAATATATCCAATATATCGAATATATCAGGATATATCGAATATATCATTAATATATTGTAATATATTGACATGTCTGATATCCATGGATCTCAACAAGTCGGAGCAGAAAGGGTTAGCGGCCAGGACCCTGCCCTGTTCGGCAAGGGCCAACACCACCAAGATGATGAAGGCAGCAGTTGGATGCGCTTGGCATGGTATGGCATGAGTATTTCAATTATGTTATCTGAAATTCATGGTCTGATGGAACATATGATTTTTTAGTTGGTCTTATGACATTCTATACATATCCATATATATATATATGTATATACATATTTGTATATATATATATTATACATATATCCCTACTAGTAGATCTCATGAGCATCGCCAGAATTATCAGTTGTGCCAAACTTTCACACACCGCGTGGTGCTCAGATCTCTTCAACTGCAGCGATTTGCGAAAGTGCGAGCCACATGCGCAGGGGGCTCAGTGATATCCCTCGACTGAGAAAACGGATGGTCAATGATGATGGTTTTAGAGAAACTCTACAGGAAAACATGGATGTTCCCATTAGATATGGGACTTTACTGTAATTTTTCCCGTAAACCAATCTATTGAGAATGGTAAATGATGATGGTAAATGGACAGATGAAACATTTGGATGGAACAAGCTGCTGAAATATTGTCCCATGTGATCAAGCCTGTATTTTCCTAGTAATTGTGGCAAAACTTGGTGGAACAGCTTCAAAGTCGGATTGAGATGGATTTGGCACAAACGAACAGAACAGGCTTGGCTATTGTCCCAATCGAGGCCGAAAATTCCTAAAGTTAGTAGCAAGGACCAACTCATTTGTAATTTCAATCACATCTGGGTTTTGGATTCCGTGGTAAGTTCGAAAGAAGGATAAGAATCGGTCATCAACCAAGAAATCAACATCTTTCTCCTTAGGTTTTTGCCAGAAACATCAGAAACCTCAGTTTAAAGCAACTTTGTTACTGGATGCTGTTCCGTTCTCTTTTGGATCAGGGTGCTGCTATTCAAATTTGAGAAGCAGGTATTGTGGCAGGTTCGGACAGATAGATGCCACATGATGCACCCACCTCCTCAGTTTTTTTCCATGTTTTGCACTTCACCGTTCGCTGCATTTTGATGCTTCAACAGCTGTAGCAAAACATTGACATCCAGATTCTGGGATCCAATGGGTGTGAAAAGCTCCGCTGACTCCAAGTATCAGCCTATCAGCTGGTCCAGCTGTTTCTATCTTCGGCTTCGCCATGGACTTCGAGGGGATCTTGGATCACTATGCGGTACTTGGCCTGGAACAGGGCTGCAGTGCAGCGGAGGTGCGCAAGGCCTTCAGGGCCAAAGCGCTGAAGTGGCACCCAGACAAGGCAGGCAGCTCGGCGGAGGCGCGCAGGCGCTTTCAGGAAGCTTCAGATGCATATGAAGCTGGGATTTTGCTGGGTTAGCGCAAGTTTCTGATGTGTTTTTTTCCTGTCTAAACTAGCACTTTTTGAGTATACGTCGGCTGATCATGAATACCATGATGGATTTCAAAGATCATATATCATATGTTTTATTTTTTGCTCTGAAAAAGGGCATAGATACACTCTTGGTTGTTTTATATATATATATGTGGGATAGGTTGAAGACCAGCTAGGAAGTGCTGGGGGATGAGGAGAAGAGAAAAGCCTATGATGGCCATTTGCAACAAGAAAAACTGGAAAGAGCTGCTGCAGAAAAGGCCGCGGCTGAAAGAGCCCGAGCCAGGCAACAGGCACAACAGGGATACGCCAATGGCGCGAATGTCAATGCGCCGGGAAATTTTCCCTTTCCTCATGCAAGTCATGGGCATCCTGGCCAATCCCATGGCCATGGGCATCCTGCGGCCCAATCCCATGGCCATGGGCAGCCGAATCGTGGGACCTCTGGGACGCCAGGTAGACCAAGCCGCCAACCTTCCAGACCGTTTGAGGAGGATCCGCGAAGTCGTATGCCTCAGCCAGATTTGAGACCGACCGCTGCGGAAGTGCATGGCTATGGACGTCCGAAGATGCCAGACGATGGGCACCGGAGACGGACAGCTGGATACAACCCACATGACATGCCCAATGTACCAGACACCAGACCAACTGCAGCTGAATTGAACCCCAATGGCTTTGGACAACCCTTCCGTGCCACCATCTCTGACCTGCAAACATTGGCCAGCTTCAGACATGATGGTGCAGTATGGATCCCCAAGGTGAAGGACGTGAAGTGGTGCAGACCTGGTGATGCTGGGAGGGTACAACTCACTTATGTTGCTGACTATACCTCCTCCCGCAGCCGTGGTGGAGGGGGGTCACGGCTCCTACAGCTCTTACAGACCTCCAACTGCGATGCCCTTCAGACGTCCTTTCAAGAACACCTGGACAGAGTGGCCGGTCGCTGCAGCTACCGACATTTTCGGATGCAACTGCTCGACCATCCGGGACGAGGGGAACTGCAGTTTCGTGTGAAACTCTGCTTGGAGGGGGAGACCAGTGACCTTCTGCGCAGCTTTGATGCTGCCTGGGAAGTGGCACCTTCACAGAAGATGAAAGACTGCCCCTTGATGTGAGCTTTGTGAGTTGAACCATCGGTTCCGCAAGCTCTGAATACATCTGAAAACTACAGAAAACTACCAAAAATATGAAGGACATGATTACTTTCCAGCCAAAAGGCACATCCTACTTAGTTGGATTTGTTTATGTAGAGGATTTGCTTCCAGACAGTTCCGCATCGTTTGCCAAAGGTAACGACACGACCCTTTGTTGTTTCTTCTCATCCTCCAGTCGGAGCGTGGGTTGAAGCATATAGGCCTCTTGCCCGTCAGATGTCACACCTGGGCCTGGAGTCAGCTCCCATGCTATCATCAAAGCTCGCAGAGGAAGAATTTTGATGCCTCCCTGGCTGAAGGGGTGAACACATGTTGCAGACTAGCTGGTGTAGCTGGTGGTTTCAACATGTTTCAACCTCCTGTTTTCCACCTACTACTTGAAGGATGATTATGATTAGTCAAATATAGTCAAATCTTTACCCAATCAACAGACTGCAGCAGACCCAGCTGATTCAGCGTGTCATCATGGGCGAGCGGTCCAGTCGCGATGGCCAAAATTTGGGGACTCTTTGGATCTTTTCTGGGACAACTCAACTGGGATAACTCGCCCAACATGCCCAACTGTTGGGATTCTGTGCTAAAAAATCAATGACAATTGATGGCAATTGATAAAGATCTATAAAAGGTGCATTTCCCCCCAGTAAATAGGGAGCTTCATTGGTCCGGGAGTTGCATTATGGCTCAATTTTGGGGCTTGCAGCATCCGCCATGGTGACAACAGACTTCTTGTCCAATGATGTCCAATGTACACAGCCAAATAGGGTGGAGATTGTCGCGATGCAACATGATGCAACGACATTTCCATGAAACGTATGTTGAAGGTCTTCTGCCCAAGGGGCGGCATGACGGGTAGGCCACAGAACCAAAGTTTTCCGCAAATCCGGAAATGCAAATCCATTACTTTTTTTTTCAGATCTCTCCAGAGATGGGCATCTTCCATTGCGAGGTCTTTGTTTTACTGCCTTGGCCATCTCAGGTTTACGATGGCTCCTGTGGCCAACCCCAAGACCTTCTGCCTAGACATCAAGAAGACCAACGAGGTCCTGGCATGCATCGCCAGGGAATTGCTGGGGGGATGAGGGGATGCTGCCAGGCACCAAAGCTGATGGACTTCAGGAAAGGTACCACCACCCTTGGCTTTGTGTCACCTCTCTGCATTTCAAGGACTTTCAAGGTGACCAGCACCCATGATTTGAAAGTGTGACAACAACAACTGAAATGCAGAAACTTGACAAATGATAACTAGTGACTAGTGAGGCGTCCATTTATCACATGTTTCCGGGCATTTGTCGAGTTTTCGTATTGCAAGATGTCCCTTTTTGAATGTTTTGAACACGTGGAACCTGCAACGTCTCGGTACCTCTAGGTTCCAGGGCGGCATCATCATCGCAGTGGATTCCCGTGCCTCCATGGGTAGCTACATTGGTTCAGGAACCGTGAAGAAGGCGAGCCGCCGGAAGCGACGTCTACGTGTACTGACGGGATGGAAACTGGAGAAATGCTTGGAGGTTAAGAGGGATATATAAATAATGATTTAATAGCCAATCATGATGAATACTGATGGATGATATTGGATGATAATGTGGGTATAGCAATTATAAACCATCCCATTAATCACCATAAATAGATGGTATAAACCATCAATTTGCTGGGTGGTTTATGGCATTGTTATATCCACATTAAATGGTTTTTGGTTGTGAGCTGTCGCATCAGCTGAAATCCGCCCTTCGGCAGGTCATCGAGATCAACGATTTCCTGCTTGGAACCATGGCGGGCGGCGCTGCCGACTGCTCGTGGGGGCTCCTGGAACGGACACTGCCATGGCGATGTTGGGAGGAAACATCTGGGGATAACTGGGGAGATTACATACAGTAGGATTACCCTCTGCTAAGTAAACATGGCAACGGAAAATCCATGAAAATCCCACGTGTGTAGATGATGTTTGAAGATTAAAGCTTCCATTTATCGTGGTTCCATTACTGCGGTTGATTATGTCATGATATGTCTGAAAAAGAGACGTACCCCGAAGTGGTCAAAATTTTGATAGTGATAATCATGATTGATCAATGCGTTTTGGGGACCCAATTTTCAGTCAAATCCATATCCCCAGTATGCCCGGTTTTCGGATAATTCCAGGCTGGCCTAGTTGAGGACATTCAAACACATTCAAATCAATGTAGCCCCACAGTTATATAACGAACAGCTGGATCATGATCTTGCCAGTTCATCTAGCATGAATATATTCCATTCGAAAAACACTTTTGTATCACCAGCTGGGGTTTTATATTCCGGTCCGCAATTATAGAAGCAATTGCCGGAATTATCGGAGAGCCCTGCTTCTATTTGAAATGGACCCTGACAACCCCCCCCGGCACTTTTCAAATAGAAGCAATTGGTTTTTCAGAGTCCAAAGCTAGGAATTGCTTCTATTTGAAAAAAATGGAAAATATCCAAAAATGCAGTGTTTTTGTCAGTTTTGCTGATAGACTATGATAATTTCCTGTGGGAAATTGACAAGAATTGTGCACATTTGTGCCAAAATATGCAAAAAACAACCTACATTTTCAACATGTTTCGAACTTATGACTCAATGTTTGACCACCAATGAGTATGATAGGTTTTTTTTGCACATTTTGGCACAAATGTGCACAATTCTTGTCAATTTTCCACAAAAATTATCATAGTTTATCAGCAAAACTGACAAAAACATTGTATTTTTGGAGATTTTTCCGTTTTTTTTTCAAATAGAAGCAATCCAATAAACTGTGCAATGTGCAACATTGCAAGGCAGGTAGAGCACTACCAGTGTTTTGGGTGAAGACAAAGAAAACCCAAACGAGGCACTGTTTTGCAGTTTGGGTGTTTCTCTAAGATCT